GTAGGTGTTTCAACACCAAACATTTTGGTTTTTCCCCTGATGGCATTAACTATGATGTGCCAAGTACCCCAGAGCTTGCTTGGAGGGTACCTCTGGAACAGATAGCTGGGAAGCTCTACCACTTGTGCCTGCCAGACAGAATTCAGTTCCTTCTTGGAGATTCCTGAGCCTCAATTCCCTAAATAATCCTTGGGATACAAGTTCACAAGGGTTACCCAGATCCTGAGGTCGTTTTAACTTTGCGCAGTATGTTTCAGCAGCATCAGATGGGATGTAGTGGGGCTATAATGAAGATCCCTAAGGAAGCTTTAGGGTTTGGCTCTCAGTGACATGATGAAAAACAAGATTACACATCACACAGCACCTCTGTGAGCTGAGCTTCTGTCAGATACTGCTCTGCTGATGAGTTTCACTTGGGACCACTCTAAGATGATGTATTCTGGTTAAATACCAGTGTTGTGTTTTCTGTGTGTTACTCTTTCTGGACTCAGATGTCTTAAGGCTGATGACTTGGAGCAGTGCAGGCTGACTCCAGGCTTTCCTTTGCTATTACACCATTTAGTGCTGAACTTCACATTTCTGCTTTTCATGGAAGCTGTTGTGGTGGCTGGTTGGTGTGTTTCCTGGCTCTATCTGGAGCTGAACAGGGACACAGATCATGCTCTTGCCTGGTTGTTACCTGGATGATTTTACTATTCCAAATAAGTTTCTGTTGCAGTTAGACATGCCCCAATCCTGTACATGAATGTGTACATGAAGGTGAGGATTTCTGGGATTTCAGCTTTCCTTACAGGCTACCTATGATGCATTAACAGAGCTGATGGTAGCATGCACTAGGCACTTTGCCTCTCTGAGGAGGCTCATTCTGCCTGGCAGAAGAGAGGTCCCCTTCAGGCCTAAGGATGTGCTAAGCACCATTCTTGTCAAAATACTGGAAACAGGTGATTTTGCCTCTATGCACCTGGATTTCTCAATTCAAACAGAGCTAAAATTAAGTACTGCAAGTGAGCAAAAGTGATCTGTAAAGATTGTTGCTGGTACTCACTGGTATCCATTTTTTATCCTAATAAATTAATCTGTTTCTTTCTATTCTTTGATGATGTATTAAAGCAGATCTCTCATTAATTGGAACTATACTCTTAAATTATTAGAACAAATAACAGAACAAATACAAGTTTGTAACTTGGTAACAACAGTTCTTTCTGTTACTTACTAAGAGATCTTCCATTAAAAAATTAATTTCCATGTCATGTAGATAGAGCTGTGCAGGCAGAGGGCTCATTAAAAATGTACTGGTTTTCCTTTATGCAGCATTTAATTTATATTGGGGGACATTGCAATGCTCACTAGTTAATAACTTAAATTTTGTACCTTTAAGTTGCATTATCATTGAAAAACTTGCTGCTGTCTGCAGTGAACTAATTTAAGTTATTATACAGCCAGTAGCAAACCTTTCAGATTTTTAAAAGAAACTTATATACAAATTTCCACTTTCTTCTCTAGTTATATAAAATTGTTGTTCATTGGCACTGGTGTCTTTTTGTAGCTTTATTCATTGGAATGAACCATTATTTTCTTAAATGATTTCAAAATTAGCACGCCTGAGGGGTTGTCTTAAAACCATGCAAAATACCTGGCTTTTAGAACTCGTTTATTTTTCATTTTAGCAATCTTATTTTGTGATGGAATTCTGCAGCTAGCACAGTTCAGTTCTTCCCTCACCATTCCCTAATCACAGGATTGTTTCAGGTTGCCAGAACTAACTGAAATACTTGGTTTCTTTCCAAAGGTCTCGAGTTTCATTAGAGAACAGGCACATGAACAGTTCCAAATGATAGTTATTTCCCTGAAGGAAGAGTTTTATTGCAAGGCAGATGCATTGCTGGGAGTGTGTCCTGAGGTAACAATTAATTATGGTTAAATAATGCACATGGGTTTGTTGGGAAGTGCTGGGTCACACCTGAAGTGTTGCTCCAGTGAATCATGCACACACAGTTGGTGGCTGGCTGTGTCCTGTTGTGCAGGCACTGGCTCCAGGGAACATCCTTTGGGGAACTCAAGCTCATGATTGCATCTAATAGTTACGTTTATTTCAAATACCAGAAGTGTGTTACATGGTGTGATCCTCCTTCTTCTCAGCACAACGATATTATGTTCAGCCAAATCCTGACCCTGGATCTTACTGAGTACCCAGAGGAGGAAGAGCAGGACTCAGCAGAGAGGCCCAGCCGTGGTTCTCTCTTTGAATAGCACATGGATCGTGTCAGGGCCGGGTGACAACAGGAAAAGGATTCACAGCTGACAGTTACAAACCTGAGTTTGAATGTGGCTATTAAAGGTTGTCAGGGAAATGTTCACTTTTCAAGTGAAGCAGTTTTGCAAAATATTGCAAATATTGATGCAGTTTTGTTACAGAGGCTATTTCTGAGGTGTGCACACTGGTACCCAAAGCTTCCATTCCAGATATTTTGGCTGTAAGAAGGGATACAGGTTCATTTCTGTAAGTACAGTATCCCAAAGAACAAGCCTCTTGCTTTTCTTAGCAAAAGTCCATAGTGCCAGCAAGCTGTTCAGGGGCTCACTGCTCCAGTCAGGACCTTTTGTGTTTTTGTGTTGTAGCTGCATCTGTTTGCCTTCAGATAGGATTATTTTTTGTTTTCTAAAAGAGTAAGGTACTGAAATATGTTCATTATCTTGAGTGACTTCTGTGACAACCAGAAAGACTTCAGTCTTCCACTGCAACCTTACAAGTATTAGTTAACTGTACAAAAACTTGCAATGCAGCTCTAGAGCTGTGATGTAACCTTGAAAATTTTCACCTCTGAGCTGTTTCACCTCATACAGAAGTGGAAAGAATGAGTCAGATGCTATGGAGGCAAAGGAAATATATATTGAAATATAGAAAAATTTAATGTCATTATGCAGCTGTCCCAGTACACTGAAGTTACTTCGCTGGCTGTTTTTCATCTAAGCAGATGAAAGTTAATGAACTTTTCATCTAAAGTTAATGAAGTTGGGTAAAGAAAACTGAAAGCTGGAATCACTTTATCTGGCTTATGTTCTGCTCCGTGTGTGCTAAAGAGCTTCCCTTGGTTTGTGGTTGTTCATAACAATTACATCTTGTGTTCACAGAGCAGGTTCCTTTTGTCCTGTGGGTTGCTTACACATACCTGCCTTGGCATGTGCTGTGAGCCCTGGCTTGTGCTGGGTCTGTGGGGATCCTGCCTCAGGGAGGAAGTGTCTGAGCAGGAGTGCAACATGTTTCACAGGAATACAGATGTTTATCAAATACTTGTGTTATTGCTACACTTTACTGAATAAATTTGCTCTGAGGCATGAGTCAGCATCAGTGCCTTAATTCAGAATCCAGTACCAGAGGTGTCAGGAGATAAAAAAAACCCTCATTCTTCTCCTTCTGAGGGTACAATAGACGGCCCTCAAGAGAGGAGGCTGTCGACAAGCTACAGTGCAACAGTACCTACAAGGGAAGAATCACCAATGCTGGGTGGATGTAAACTGATCCTTACCAAGGGGAGGGATGGGATTTCCTATTGTCATGTGACTTCAAGCACACGAATAAGGAGTTGCATGCCTTTAGGGTTTAAAGAGTGGTAGTAACCAGGGTCATAAATACCCCAATGCAAGTGATGGATTTTGCTTCAGCTTGAAGCAACAGGTGAAGTGTTCTGAGCTGATCATCAGGATCCACAAGAGCCTGACTCATCACTTTCCCAAGCAGCCCATTTATGCTGCCTGCAAAAGCTTAAGTTAGAGGGTAATCTCATAGATCATGCTATATGTGATGCTAAAAGACAATTTTCAGAAGTGATGTTGGTATAAATAGACCCTCTAAGAGGAACAGGGTTGCTGTGGGCTGCCTGAAGGCCTGTAGGAGCACAGCAGGATCCTAACAAAACACCTCACTGAAGCTTTTTGTCCCAGGCAACTGCAGGAATTGGTTGTTTGACAAGGGAGTAAAGACCTGCCAAGCCACAGTTCCGAGAGAAAGGTCACCTGCCAGACCCACCCCTTGCCCTCCCTGTAACACCCCAGTACAATGTGACCTGCTCTCAGAAGGTATAACAAAAGTCCTTAGGAAAGAGCCACAGGGAAGCTGACAGGAACAATCCTTCAGCCTTGCCAGGTACCTGCGCTGGCATCAGCACAAATAACAGCCCTGGACGTGCTCTCCTGCAGACACCGAGGTGAGAGCCAGCTGGAAAAACTACAGGTATGTACCAGTGCTGGCAGCTGCAGTGGGAATTCTGTCTTGCTGCCAAGATAATGCAGGTAGAGGAAGTACCAGGTAGTTCTGGGCCTCACCTTCACCCTTGGAGCAGTTCAGCCAAAGGCAAACTTACACACTAGGAATTTCCTGCAGATGGATCCTTTGATACTGACTGAGTTCCGTTCCACTGCAAGACTGTTACCTGCTGTCCAAGGCAGCAGGCAGCACAGTGTGTGGTGTAGCAATATTTAAAACATTTCCACAAGAACCCACTGCAGAGAGGTCAGAGAGTGCCTGCCCTGTAGTCTGTTCCTGCAGATGCAGCACTCTTCCAGCCTTTCCTCCCCAGGTGATCTTGTGCCTTACCAGACAAAAGAAAAAACAAATCCTCTTGTCAAAATTGGAAAGCAGGTGGGTCATCATCCTGTGGGTTCCATAAATGTGGAACAACACTGTTCTGCAGGACTTGGGGTTCAGAGACTAAAGCCTGCAAGACCCCTGGCGAATCCAGAAACCCACCTGCAGTTCAGCTAAGGGGAGAACTGAAATTCCTGTATTTCAAAGGCAGGTGTGCCAAGAGGCACTTTTGACAGATTCAAACGTTGTGTGGTTTCAGCTGGGGAAGAGTTTGGTCCAAGTGGCTTCACATAAACGCAAAGAGAAGTTGCATCTGCTTCTGTCTGACCCTGCAGGTCCTGCCCAAGTGCTCTGGCAGTACCAGAGGAGTGACTCATTTGACTCTCAAGGTTTACACACGTGACACAGTTATGGCTTTAGAAAAGAGAAAGCTAGTATGTACAGTTTTATTCCACTGAAAATCATGGAAATACCAGCTCAAAACTTTCCATGCAGCAGATGTAAAACACCTACTGTTAAAAAGCTTGGAGTGCTTGGGGCTTTTTCATTGAAGAGGGGGTATATCATTATCTGGCTGCTTGACTCTCTTAGGAGAATCAGTGCTGCTTTCTCCTAACTTCCTTTTAGCACAATCCACACATGAAGTTCCTGGGGTGAGAGAGGGGAAAGAAAACACATTAATATTACTACATCCATGTGCTTAGCGTATTTTTTATTATAAGCACCAGCTAGCAAAATAAACCCAATCCTGGTCCCCTGAGGTTCTTATATTTGGATTCTGAAGTACATGTACCATTAACCATTAACCCTGCTAAAGGTCTGGACTCAAGCTCTCCCCCAAAACTGATCTCTGGTACTGACACAAACAACAGGGACTCTGCTCAGGCTTCAGTTGCCTTTTGCCAAAGCTAATTTAACACCTGTAGGGCTCACACGTGAGTCTGGATCTGTTATTCAGACAGCCCAGCTTGAGCTGGAGGGTTGAAATAGATTGCTCCAGTGGTCCCAAACTGAACCATTCCAGAAGTCTGCAACAAAAATCCTTGGTGTAAGCTGCTGTTGGAAGTACATAAACAGCGTAAATAGAGAGTAACATGAATGGAATAAAAATTCCTTCAAAACCAGAACATTAACTTAGATTTTGTGAGGTATTAAGCACAGTAATCCTCTGTCTGTATTCTGAACTACAACTAAACAGGTGCTAAAACTACCTAAAGATGGTGCTAACAAGAAAGACTGTTAAGAGGGATGTTAAGAAGTACTGGAATAAATTGTATTCAAGGTTTTGATTTTTCTTCCACGCAGTTGTACTTTATTGAAAATGGGATTTATGAACTCAGTTGAGAGAAAGGTAAATTTAAAATCCCCTTGGAATTACAAAACTAATCTCAGACTTTACACCTGCACACAAGTGTCTTGGAGCCTGTGTTCTTTTTTTATTGGGAAAGAGCAGGGGGTTTACCTCCTGCACTGCCAAAGACACTTACATGCAGTACCAGATGGTATTTCTCTACAATTCTGATGTTGGCTGCAGCAGCACAGATCTCTCAGGAGTGGAATCTTTTAAAGTTGGTTTGCTGTATTTTTTCCATCAATCAGAATGTATTATTACTTGGGTTATTTGCAAAATAGCACAAAGCAACCTGAACAGCTCAGCTGAAAAATCATCTTCAGTACCACACCCTTGAGATTCACTCTTCCTGACCCCCTTATTAAGTAGGGCTTTTGGAACAGAAACCTGTATTTGGAAATCTAAGCCAAATATCTTGGTGATGTTAGCATGTAAAAACTCCAGGAAATGTATATGAAAAGTTACTAACGTTCACCAGAGTAGTCTGAGTTAATACTGTCATTTGTCATTTGATAGACCTGAAAAGGCCATCAGTTACCTGCTGCGAGGCAGAAAGAAAACCAGAGAGTAAAAAAAAGCTTTCAGCAAACTTCCAGAACTAAATCAGAGTTCTGGACACTAATTACTTCATTACTTTGGAAATAAGAGGGGTATTTTTCTGGTGTTGGTAGGATTATGGAACTTCCTGTGAAAATAAAAATGTTACTTACCCAACAGCGTTGTGCTGTCCACCCGATCAGCATCTAGAGAAGTGTAAGAGACATCAGCAACACACATGAGTATCCAGGAAGTTTTTATACTTTTATGCACCATCCCAAAACAGCAAGCTTGTGTTTAGAATCTCAGAATAGTCTGGGTTGGAAGAGATGTTAAAGCTCATCCAGTTCCACCCATCCTGCCATGGGCAGGGACAACTTCCACTGTCCCGGGTTGCTCTAAGCCCCATCCAGCCTGGCCTTGGACACTTCCAGGGATGGGGCAGCCACAGCTTCTCTAGGCAATCTGTGCCAGGGTCCCACCATTCTGATCACACAAACACATCCTCTTTATATCTAATCTGAATCTATGCCCTTGCAGTTTGAAGCTATGTGCCCTTTTCCAAAAGTCCCTCTCCAGCTCTCCGGGAGCCCCTATAAGCATTTTAAGGCTGCTGTTAAGGTCTTCCTAGAGCCTTCTTTTTTTCCAGGCTGAACACCCACAGTTCTCACAGCCTGTTTCCAAAGCTGAGGTACTCCAGCCCCTGATAATCTTTATTGCCCACCTCTGGACCCACTTCCAGCAGCTCCATGTCCTTCTGATGTGCAGCTCTGCAGGTGAGGTCTCACCTGAGCAGGGCAGAGGAGCAGAATCCCCCCTTCCCAGCTGCCCACACTGGACTCTCGGCCCAGCACAGGGGAGTTTCTGGGATAGGGCCTGTCCAGCTCTCAGCCACCAGCAACCCCAAGTCCCCCCACTTCCCAGGCTTGCTCCATCTACTCATCCCCAGCCTGGATTTGTGTTTGTAATTGCCGTGGCCCAGCTGCAGAACCATGGCCTTGCTGAACTTGGTGACTGCACAGCCCTACCTCTCCAGGCTATCCAGGTCTCTCTCTGTGATCCCTCCCCTACAACCACAGCTCTCATCTTGCTGTTACCTGCTGAGGACACACTTGAGCTCACTGTCTGCATACCCATCAAAGCCATTACATGGTCCTGATCCTAATACAAACTCCTGGAGGACACAGCTTCCATCAGTTTCCATCCACAGATAAAACCACCAACTACAGTCCTGTGACCATCCAGCCCATTTTTTACTCACATCCCCCAAGTCTTCCTTTTTTCCCTTTTTAAAAATGGAAATTATGTATCCTCTTTTCCAGTCAGTGGACACAATTTTTCAACTAATATGGCTAAGCAACTTCATCATGGTTAGCAAATTAAAAATTACACCAGGACATGATTACTCCAGCCCAGGCTACTACCAACCCTGAACTCACGTCTAGCTGAGCCTCTCCTCTGCTGGGCTCTCCATCACCTCTCCTAGGAAGAGGTCCTCAAGGCATTCCAGGACTCCTGGACTGCTTGCAGTTTGCTGTGTTCCTTTTCCAGTGAGTGTCCAGGGGCCTGTAGTCCCCAGTGTGCATCAGGCTTATTTTGGTTTTGCATTTCTCATTCCTTTAATATAACCCTCTTAACAAACTCTCCCTGCTACATTTTAGAAGAGAGTTTGTAAATAGGCACAAAAAACCCAACCCTGACAGATTGTTGATACACAGAGCAGTTCTGCGCACCTGAAAATGGTTTTGCTTGGCATCTTGACTTGTAAATAAGATCATGAGATTTTCAAATCTGAGTCCCTCCTCCTACAAGTCTGATGCAAATCAGACTGCAGACAAACTTCCTCAAATCTCAATTGCGTGATAAGTATTTTTTTCTAGCCTTCATATAAAGAAAAACCTAATGCAGTCTAATTGGAATATTCATCAAGTCACAAAAACCAGGATATTAATTAGGGCATGCACTTTTCAGGAAAAGGTTCCTGCTATGCACCACCTGGAAATAATTTTGGAAAAAACAGTTTCACTGAAATTATAAATAAAAGAGCTGTCAAATAGCAGTGCTTCCGAAGGTCGTTTAGTTATTTTCCTCTGTTCTCTGGATAAACCAAAATGGAGCTGTCCTTGTTTGGAAAACATTAAAGAAATCTCCTTCCTTAGACATACAGCTGTTTCTCTTCATTCTCTTCATAACTCTTAGTGTAATAAGCCATGCACTGATTTAATTTCCCATTCTATGCTTAGTCAGATATTGTGGCTCAACCAGCTTATCCTATCAGTTATCCCTTCAATTCTTAGTCTCTTCCTGACAAGTCAGATTTCTGATAATGTAATACTCAATAAGCTGAAGTAGTTCACATTATAAATATATGTTAAGTAAACCTTTTACCAAATACTAACAAAGAGACAAATCTGGAATTCAGGATGAAATTTGCAAGAATCCACAGACCTCCAAAATACACAGATTTAAAAAAAAAATCTAGTTACAGTTGGCCATATGTTCCAACTCTGAATGTCCCTCACAAGCAACAAAGCTGCACACAAGGTCAGTGCCTCAGATTAGCTGCAGTGTTCAGGCAGGGCAAACTGCCCAGGACTTGCTCCAGATTGTGCTGTTGAAGAGGCCACGTTACCTGGACTTCTCTGTTTGCAGATTTGAGCAGTCAGATCCTGGACATACTCTGGGAATTGTTGGAAGCAGTCCCCATAGGACACCACTTTTATTCCATGCAGCAGCATATCTGCTTGGAGCTTAAAAAAGTGGTCTTCGTTTTCTTTAAGCACCAACATGTAATGTTCTAGATCCACTTTGTTCTTTACTGTGTAAAGAAAAAGAGCTTGGAATATCTGGTCACGCAGAGTCTCTCCACAACCCAAAAACAAAAAAGACTTGGTTCGGTACAAGTTCTGAAGAACCTCCTGTGAAGGAACAGAAACAAAGAAGGGCCACATTTACTTCATCAGACAAAAGCCAAGGTCAGAACTTTTAAAATACATCAGCCAAAAAAGGATTAGCAGAGCAGAACCTCACTAGTGACCTGAAAAAAAGCAAATGTTTCAAGACCAGGCCAAACTGACATTTCATAACCATTGTTCCTACACATACACACACACACACACACAAAAAAAGGCAAAATTATCATGCAAATACAATTTTGTTGGAACAAGATGATCTTTAAGGCCCCTTCCAACCCAAGCCATTCCATGGAATTTAAATAGGCATGTAAGTGTTGCCAGCAAGGGAATTTAAATTGAAAGAATTAGAATGACAGGATATTGTGATCCTGTTAGGTCAGTCTCTAAATAAGAAAAATGAATATTCCTGACCAAACGTTTCACTTCCTGTGACAGCTAAGACAAAGTTAAGTCCAGGATCCAGAGCTGGTACCAGTTTAAACCCCTAAGAAACCTAGCAATAGTAAGATGATGAATCCTTGTCCTGGTGTCCAGTATTTTGAGACTCCTGTTCTTTTCAAGGATAGATACAAACTCTGACATCCAGCTGAGGGGTTTGGTTGTGATTTACACAGCCACAGTACCCAAGGGCACAGACTGCCCTTGCAACAGAGCCACCTTTCTGAATAATTCCTGTGGTCTCCAAGTATTTCATTGATAGGATCCCACACAGCCTTTCGTATCTTGTCTGCAGTGATTATGAGAAAACTGTTTGGCAAAACATAGTGAAAATTTTAAAAATCACACAAACCATGACTTCAGGATCTTGAGTAACATCTTTATATCCCGAGGGATCAAGCACCATTCCACAGGGATCTGTATATAAGCCGTGAATATGAAGAACTCCATATTTCACGTGGCCCCTTGCCCACTGAAGAACCTAAAGCACATCATGTGAGATACATTCTTTAGTTATAACATGCCACAGTCACCATGAATCTGCAAAACTGTACAGCTGAACTGACTTACAAACCACTTAAAGCAGAAACAAGTCCTTTTGCACTTTCCTACAGCAAGAGACTGCAATTCCTAATTACACAGCTCACTTTAAATCATAACAAAAAGGTGATGGCTGATATTGCACCTGTCTCTGGCTTTTTGGGTTAAACAGCCAGTCAACTAAGAAGCAAGTTCCAGGAGCACTGACAGAAAAGGTATGAACAGCAAATTAACTGCCAGCCAGATGAAATTCTATTTGGAATTTTAACAATGGCTTTACATAAGTTAAACAATTTGTGGGTTTTTCCCAGTAAATGGCAGGGAACTGCTTAACAAATGTGTCACATGAAATTCTCCTTGGTAACTGTTACCAGACTATTCAGAATAAAGAGATATGTAAAAGAAACATCTGGGCATCTGCTGTAGCTTATAGACATGCTTTAACAATCAACAACTTTTAGTCTTGACTCTTTAAACAGGAAGACATCTTTCAGTGCAGCTTATGTGCTGACTTGTCATATATTAAATCTAATAATTTTACTGCTGTCATCGTACCTTATCCTTATCTTTAAGGTCTAAAGATTCCATAGGTTTACCCTGTTGCTGACCAAATATTTCAAGCAAATTGTCATAGTTTGTAGTCAGAACCATTGTGCCTCTCTCCATGAGCCTCAGGATGGATTGCAGAACCACAGGGTTCTGAATGTGTTGTTCTAAATTATCGAACACCTCCATTAAGCAATCCTGGAAGAAGTTGGGCTTTGTGTCCCCGGTACGCTGAGGAAAGAGGAGAGGAACAGTCCATCAGGCTCTGTACAGCTGCCTCCCACAGGAACCCACACCATCTGGCTATTTAATGCCAAAGCATTCCTGTAGAAGAGGGCTTGAACAGCACAACAACCAAAACCACCCAAAACAAATCTCAATTTGTTCCAGAGCTCTTGCCTCTCTTAGTGTAGCTCCAAACAACAGTCTGGGTTTCTCATGAGAGCTTGTAATATAAGTACAATATAACAACACTAAAATTAGCTTACCCTGGATTGAGACATACCAGTATTTTATCAGTATTCAGCTATTCAGTATCTCCTGGATATCCCTGGGATATATTATTAAAGGGAGGAGGGGGAGGGGGGAGAGTTCTGTTTTTCATTCCTGGTTGAGAAAACTTTATTAATGATTAAATCTGCTATGAACACATGCATGTCACACTGGGCACTGGGCCTGTTGAGAGGCTCACCCCAGCCTACATTATGTCTGTCACACAGATTATTTCAGCTAGAAGGAAGTCTTGGAAAAGGTCTTAACACAGTTTGAAAACCTCTGGAAACTCAGATGACTGAGACTAGGCGTGCATGGGCTGTCCTCAGGGAAGTGTGAACTGCACCAGTTATTCGCAATGTGTGGCCCAAGGTCATCAGGAGGCTCAAGGGCTACCTGTACTTCCAGGGTCTCTCCAGTTATAGCCACATATCTAGAAATTTCTCTTTCACTTCTCAAAAAATTACAGCAAATATTTAATAGTCAGGACTCCTGCTTGCATTAATTCTGATGAATGGTAACTTACACTAAAACACAGGGATTTTTTAGCCTCCCCAAAATGTACAATGTGCTGTATGATTACTCACAAAATTTCCATTTTCACTAGAAAATATTCAACTTTTGGAAGCAGTGCTTCCTTAGAACAAAAGTACATACTAGATGTAGATATTAACAGAGGTTATAAACATACTCACTGGAGACATCTTCCTGATGAGATCATGTGCAACCACAAGCAGGTCTCTCTCTTTGCTAACTTTCTTACGGAATTCTGCGACATCCCCCGGGTGCAGCACCTCCAGCTGCTCAGCTGCTCCAAGGACAGCCTCAATGCAGCTTCTCCAGGAACAGAGTGCAGGGATTCCTGGGGCTACTGCAGCACTCACCCCCGTCCCAATTACCAGGAGAAGGTCCCGAGGCTGCTTTCTTACAAGGCTTTTTAAGAATTTTCTTGAACACAGAAAACAAAAGCATTCATTGTTCACGGTGCATTTCCTGGCTTGCCTGAAGAGCTCAGGGACTGACTCCAGAAGTTCACCTGAGCCATTAAAGCTTCTGCAAAACACCAACCAACCAGCAGGAACAGAGTTCTCCATTCCTACATAAGGAATGAGATGGGCAGCCACAAGAAGCTCATGGCCTCCCATAAACCAACAATTGAAGCCTTTTTGCCATTTCAGACAGATAAATGTGAATGGTCAATGCCAGCCAAAAAAATGCTTCAAATCACTACCATCTCTGTGGTCCAAATTGACAATTGCCAATTTCCAGGCCACTGGGCAAGCCAAACACCATTTCCAATGAAATACTGAAAGAAGTAGGCAAAAGAACGTCCAGTGACTGAACTAAAACCTGTGATAGAAAGGAAGTAGAACTATTTCAAAGGGGCAAGTCACAATATTCCAAGAAAACAAATTTTTGGGTTTTTTCTCAGAAAAAGTGGAATATTTTATTATCATTGATGATCACTGTAGGATATGTGAACATAGCAGTCGTGCTGCTTCAGATCAAGGGTTCATCCAACTCACTATTTAGAGATTACTACCCACAGATCCCTCTCAGAGGTATGTTGGTGTGACATCCATAGTCTCTGCACAAACCAGCACAGGGAACTGTGAGGAACACCTGTCTTTCATGATTACTCAGCAAAGAAGTGAAAATGCATATAAACCATACAGCAAAATCACTTCTGTACAAACAAGGATTTCAATAGTACAGAAACCCCTGAGTTTCCAAATTACCTTTACTGATTTTCAGTTCCTGGTAACATGGTAATAAAGATTATTAACACCTCTTATTTCACAATCACCTGAAACTGTCTAGGTCAAACTATAATGTTCAACTTGAAATGGCCTCAGGCAAAGCAATAAACATGTAGGTATGGTTGCTAGCTAGTGCCTACAAATGAAGTGTGTTTGATGACTCCATGCCTTCCTGCTACATTTAGCCCAAATTGCTTCCTCTCATTATTTATTCCTCATAAACAACTTGAGTGAGCATGAAGTACTTGGTCAGAGAAGAAACTAGCTTCTTGGATAATTTCAAGTTTTCAGGCATGATGTTGTTCTTGTATTCAATATTCAATAGTTTATTCCCACTGTGGTTTCAGATTTGCATTAAGAGACAGCTTTGTATCAACTCTAATACAAGTTACCTGAATTTCTGCTCACTTCTAATTGTGGCCCCTTCTGGTGAATCCATCTCTGAGACCTGAATAAAACAAAAAGCAAAATAATTCTTAATGCTTCTACCTTAGAAAAAGCCAAAACCAAAATGAGATGGATCACTGCTGACTTTTTTCTCTTTATTCCTACCAACTATTTTAATATCAAGGCTCCACGTGTCACATCCCAGTGAAGCAAGGCACTGATGGAAACAAATCTGCCAAAGGACAAGTGTGCAAACCCAGCACAGCTCCAGTTAAGCTTCCAAATGCCATAGGACTGAGATAACAAACAGAGATGTAGCTGTTCATGCAGCTAAAAAATACTTCTGTCTAAATTCAAGATAAAATTTATCATACCCACTAAGACTGCAAGTCATTTCAAGTCAATTATGAGTTCCTTCATTATTTTTTTCACCAGTTTATTCAATCCAGTTTGTGGAAACCAGACTTCCACATGACATCCTACTCACAAGAAGTCCTCTGAGAGCCACCTGGCTACATGACCAGACTGGAGGGTATGACAGGTTTTATTTAAAATACTTGCTGAGAAAAAAAAACCTTATTTCTGTATCATCTATTATGTCTTATATCTAAAGTGCAAGAAAGATTCTGTCTTGGCAGGAGAAATGGCTATGGGATCATTACTTAGAAATCCCCAAGTTTCATTACATGTTTTTTTTTAATGAGGATGTATTTTTTGTTTCGCTTTGAGACACAGTTTTTGGTGGTGGTGATGGCAAACTGCAGTCCCTAACCCCTCAAATAAACATTGTGCCAGACCTTAGGGCTCCTAAAGTAGTTGCCAGCTCTTGCATTCATATGCTGAAAGCTAATATGGAAGCAAGAGGTTCCAAATTTGAGATTATTTGACTAACAAAAAATACCCCCCCCCAAAAAAAAAACCCAAAAAACAAACAACAACAAAAAAAACCCAACAACAAAACAAACAAACAAAACCAAAAAAAGCAAACCACCCCAACCCTCCCACACAAAAACCCCAAAATTTAAAAACTCACAAAAACCCTTCAACTAATCAATTCCAACCCAACAACAACAACAAAAAAAAGCCAAAACAACCCCCCAAAACAAACAAATAAATCCAAGCCAAAAAACCAAAACAAAACCAAAAACAACAAAAAAAACCCAAACAACAAACAACAACAACAACAAAAAAAACACACAGATGTCTTCAGCAAATGCACTCAGGGTATCTTTTAAGGTGGAAAAATATTTCCTTGTTGCAATATTCATTTTTTCTGTACTCCCTTCCCTGACCCACAGTATCCTATGGAGGTGCCCCACTGTGATCATTAGCACATCCAAAAATCAGGATAATAATCCTCTAGGGCAAAGCACTTCAAAATCACACAGAACCATCAAGGCAGAAACCTTCCAGATCATCAAGGCCACCACCCCAGCATCACCATCATCACCATAAAACATGCCCCCAGGTGCCACAAGACTCCTTCATACATGAGAACATTATGAGAGCACAACACAAAAACAACACAGGAAGAAAGGGCAACTTACTTTTGTGGAAAAGATAGTTCTTATTTTATAACCCCATTCAAGAAAGCTTTATTAATTATAACTCCCCAAATTTCATAAAAGCATTTCACCACAGGCTGCTGTCAATATCAACATTTCAGACCTCGCTGTTCCCGTTTAGCTCCTGAAGCTGCTTTCTGGAAGGCCTGGCTGTGCAAGGAAGTGGGAGCAATGTTCCCCCAGTCCTCACAGAGAAACAGCTGCCATAAACTGATGCCTTGGGTTTTAGCTTTCACATTTTTCAAATTCTCTGGTGCCTGGTATGTAACTCTGAAACTTCATATCAGGTGTTGGTAAGTTCTCTTCCCAGGGTAGTTATACACAACAATCCCTTCCCAACTAGAGAGTGAAGGACACCCAGTAACCAAAAAGCAGAAACAATGGTGAGGGAAAGGGGGCAAGCCAGGGGGCTGAGACTTCATAACCTGGGGTTGTGTTTGGACAATTAACCTCAATATGTAGATGAACCAACTCCGGATCGGGATCCATCTCGGATCCATCCTGGGTGTAGCCCCGGCCAGGATCTTGTACTGCCCAAGGCGTATGCTTTTAAGGCCTTTCAATAAATACCTATTTTATTCCTCTTAACTCTGTCTAGTCTCTGTTCCAGGTCAGCCTCTCTAGGCACCAAAGCAATGGAGATCAAATCTCCCGGTGGTCCGAGTAGTGGGAGCTGCTCCGGACATCGCAGCTGCTTTTCCACAAGGTTTCCTCATGGCAGGCTGGAAGTGGGAGCCCATTGTGATCCAGAGATGCCTGACAGCGGGGATGGCAGCTGGCTTCTTAATCCCAAGTCGGAACAACTTCTAATCTCACATCTTTCCTGCCCGACACACTCCGTTTGTATCAGTGCAATACGAGCTCTGTTCACCGACTGAAACTCCAGCGCACCAGGCTGACTCGATCAAGCGAGTGTTTCCGGGCACTTTTAGATCTGAAAACAGCCTAAAACGTTCAACGCAAGGGAAGCTGCGGGAACAGGAACGGCCCGTGCCGAGCCCGCCCATTCTCTCCGAGAAAAGGCAGGCCGGGAGCAGGGGCCGGGCGGCACCGCTGCTCCTGCCGGCCCCAATTCCCTGCCGGCTTCCGGGTGCGAGCCGGACAGGCTCCGCGCCCAGCCTTCCCTCCCCCGGGAAACAGCCGCCCCGCCGCCAAGGTTCCGGGCGGCTCCGAAATGCAGAGTCCAATTATAATCTACTCCCAAACCCTCCAGGGGTGTCGGCGGGGAGGTGAACGGGTCTGTCCCCTAGGTTCTGGTCCGGGAACGGACGTGGGACCGGCCGCGACTCCCTAAAAACACCCCTGAGAGGCGAGAGTACCCAGCTGCGGCTCTGTGTGAAATCCAGCAGGCAGCTCTCAGTTACAGGAGAAAGCGCGCTGGGTACCCCGCACATTAAGCAGTTAGTACTCCAAAAACCTACTGGTGATAGAGGCGTTGGAGATGAAAAACACTGCGGTGAGGAGAATGCAAAACAAAACAAAAGAAAAAAAGAAGGACTAGACGGCCGCGTTACCTTGGACGGCTCTACTGACGGCACGGCGGGGCTGGCGGGGGTGGCCGAGGCATCGTGAGGCGGATGCTGTGACAGCAAGTGACAGCAGGTGACACGGGCCACCTGGGCACGTCACCTGCGAGGAGAGCAGGACAGCCCGGCCTGCTCTCAGCCGGCTCTCCTCAGCGAGTCACATCGCCAACACCCACAGCGCCTCCTCCCCTTCCAATCCTTCTCTCCTTTTTTTTTTTTTTTTTTTTTTTTTTTTTTTTTTTTTTTTTTTTTTTTTTTAATATCTTAAAGCCAGAGTGTAAAAAACTTCCAGGTCCCACCTCCTTTTGAAGCACCTTGCTTTAATCCTGGCAGTCGGGTGTGGGTGAGGGCTGTAATTGTGCCAAAGGAGGCTGTTACAGACCTGCCGCCCCCAAATTCCAGTTGCAAAACTGCGTTGCAAATGCATAAATCTCCGGTTTTAATTCCATAACTGGAGTTTTCAAAACTATATGCAGAAGGAATTCTCTGCTGTGAGGCTGATAAGGCCCTGGCACAGGTTGCCCAGAGAAGCTGTGGCTGCCCCATCCCTGGCAGTGTCCAAAGACAGGGCTTGGAATAACCTGGGATAGTGGAAAGTATGCCTGCCCATGGCAGAGGGGGAACAAGATGAGCTTTAACGTCCCTTCCAATCCAAACCAGTCTGTGATTCTACTCATGATACCATTTTATAGACTTTTGAAGACCTGAAGTACTTCTTGGCATAAGCTTCCCTCTTTCCCTTGTTTCTCTAGTCAGCCATTTCCATTGGTTTTGGGTACAGTCAGGACTCACAGGTTTTGCATGTGATCGATTTGACCATTCTGTTATGTTCATGAAATGCCAGAGTTGTATTGATATTATGTAATAGTTTTAGGAAGAATTTTGGTAATTATACCCAGGTTTGAAGATGACACATAAGCACAGCTTTTACTCCATATCCAGTGTTTTGGCAAGATCAGTTGTATTGACCACTGTGAAATCACTGACTTTTCAGCCTGTGTAAGAACACTGTGTCCTTGTGAACTGTCTCTGTTATGTTCCCTAGACACCACTTCTTGCTTTGTTATTATTCTTATGGTACTGTATTGCAACCTCTGGAAAGGTTTGACAAATACTTGGTGAATTGTGTTCCTAGGACAAGGTAGAATCAATGAGAACAGGGAAGGAGAAGGAAGAATGCAAGTAACCTCACCTGAAAACTGACACGTGATTGAGTTGGAGAAACTCTTACAGTGTTTCCAGCTTCCACCCTTCACTGCTGCCAGTAAGGCAGCAAGGAATTTCAACATGCTGATATTGAGGGTTCTGTAAACCTGAAGGTCAAAGACACTGTGTTTTAAAAGAACTAGGTGATATTCTTCTCTCTAAACCCATCAACTATGTATGAAATCCTTTTTGGAATGTTATTTGACACTATTGTACTAACGCTGGAATGTATTACTAAAGAATTTGTTGTGTATCTTAGAATATTTTTTCAGCTGTAGATGGGAATTACAAAGACTTGCTAAATATTTGTCTGAGCTTGTGACTCAATGTCTGGCCCATCCTGTAGATTTACAAAGCCTAATATTCTTTATTTCACATTTATTTAAAAAGAAATGTGAGAGGAAATTTTTGTGAAGAAAGGCCTTTGAAAGCATTTCCATTTTTCAGTCTGAATCAATTAATCTGGTATTACTATATTTTCCTGTAAGTCATGCTCCTTTCATATCCTTAAACTACCCTATTATTTTAAAACCCCAAGTGTAGTTACAACAACAGTACATTTCATAAACTCTGGATTCCCCTGCAAGGAGTTAGGAAGTTACTAAGGACAAAAAATACCAATACTTTCCAACCAAACACAGTACAAAAGTAACTACATAAAGTAAAATCAAAAGGAGGCTTAGATACTTTTCCAAATGTACAATAAGAAGGAACAATGTGTTATTATCCATTAAATTTCCATGTTATTATTTTATAATGTGAATAATTAAATATGACAGTGACAGGCCAACACCATTATGAGAAAACTAGCAGGAAGTTCAGGAGCAAAAGTAACAGTGAAAAAATAATTTTGAACTGAGTTGAAACCCATAAACTTTGAAAAATGAAGGAGTTTCTTTCAAGAAGCAACAAAGAAAGGCAATCGAGGACAGCTGAGAGGTAAAACACACTTAAAAGCAATAACTACATCAGTTCAACACTTGATTCAACCTCAGATTTATCTCTCATAGTAAATCTGTTTGTCCAAGTGTACTAAACAACACATTAAGTCAGATGCTTATTTGGGGGTTTGCCAGCTTTGGAAATAACACTTGAAAGGATGTAATCAGGCTGAGAAATGCAGCTGGTTGGTTTTGGCTGCAAGAAGCAATGCATCTGATTATTCAGCTGTGGTTCTATGAACTGAGATGCAACATTACATGTTTGACATCTTGCTCTTTGAGAAGTTATGATAAAGTAAATCCAAGCCTATATTATGCCAGAACCTGCTGGTTTGAAAGAAACCAGGCAAAACTCATAATGAAAGCTTATTGAGCTTGCTAAAAGGTATCGTTAAACTAACCTGTGCCTTATTATTTTCCATAGCAAGAAGCCAATCTGCCCCTGTTGATCAAGATAAAATGCCTTGCACAATGGAACTGCCAATTCCTCTCCATTAGGGGATTACTCTTTTCTAACTTGGAGCTGGCTGTATTTTACTAGTTTGTCATCTTGGTAAACAGAATAGTTTATAAAATACTGTGAAGAAGAAAGATACTCTCAGAAATTCAAAG